AAGGGAGGGGGATTCTGCCTCCCAAGGCTCACTTTATGGCAAGGTTTGTCTGTGGCAATATGCTAAGAACAAACAACAGACGTACTACTGACCGGACTCTAGCCTCAGTAGTGTTCAGGAAACGGCAGAGGAGGATGTGCATGAGGGTATTGGACATGGGAGGACATGTCTATATAACCAGTGCTTGGGCTGTGCATAGGAAGCTGCTTCCACATGGTGGCTGCCAGTGCTATAAAGACTAATAACAGTGTTGGAAGAAATCTGGATTTCCCCTATGTTATTCTCGATCACATAAGAGAGAAGGCTGAAAGGAACAGAAAGGCCTAAAGGGCCCCAATTATAAAATAAATTCTCCTAAAAGGCTCATGGGCAGAGGAAAAACCTTGACTTTAATATGCTGTCCAGAATCCATATTGAAAAGAATAAAGATAAACCCTAGACCTGTGATGCCATTGATATAGGAAACTCCAAGATGAGAGAAGTCTCTCTATCAATGGAGGGTAGCTCTTCTCTGCCACTTCAGTCTCATGAGTTTCTTAGACCCTGAGTAGGTAAGTGACTCATCCAGGAGGTCACAGAGTAAATATGGGTCCGAGGTGTACCTTGATCCCAGGTCCTTAGGGCTATAAAAGCTACCTCTTTATCCACTACACTATACTTCTCTCATCTTATATTTCAAACCTGTAAATTGAAAAGATGATCAAAAAAGAAAAAAAAAAGAAAAGAAAATGGCCAGTATTGGAGGGGTTGTGGGAAAACAGGCACACTGATGCATTTGTTAGTGGAACTGTGAATAAGTCCAGCCATTCTGGAAAGCAATATGGTTGCATGCATAAAAAAGTTACTAACCAGTATATTCGCTTTGACACACTTATACCACTGCTAGGCCTCTAGTCCCAAAGAGATCAAACAAAGGTGAAACGGTCCTATGTACAAAAAACATTTGTAGCAGCTCTTTTGGTGATGGTAAAGAATAGGAAGTGAAGGAGATGCCTATTAATTGATGAATGGCTAAAAAAAATTACGGCATATGAATGTAATAGAATACTATTGTGCTGCAAGAGAGGAGGAAACAGATGATTTCAAAGAGACCTGGAAAGACCTACATGAACTGATGCAGAGTGAAGTGGGAAGGACCAAGAGAAACATTTATCACATCAACATTGTAAACATGGACAACTTTGAAAACCGAAGAACTCTGGTCAGCTGAAATATCAAGCATGATTCCAGAGGGCAGAGAAAAAAAAATGCTCTTTGCCTCATGGTGATGGACAAACAGGCAGAACAAGAAAAGTAGTTTATTTGTTTGTTTTAATGTGTGAAGAATAAGGGAATTTGTTTTCCTTGACTGTTTATGTGATTCAGGGGTACTAACTTTTCAGTGGGAACAGAGAGTTGGGAAGGAAAAAGAAGTGAATACTTCATATTGGAGCAAGGTAATAAAACTAAAAATGTTTAAGGCATATTAAAATGTAGAATGAGGGAAGGAACTGAAAAAAATGTCACCACATTGAAGAGGAATTAGACTTTTTTTCTTGGTCTCAGAAAGCAAGAAGAAATGCAAAGGTGAACTTTGACAAGGATAGATTTCTAGCTGATCTAAGGGGAAAACAAAATTCCTGTCATTGTGAGCTAAAGTGGAACAGGCTGTCTGGACTTGGTCAGGTCCACAAGCATTTATTAAGCACCTAATGTGTCAAGCACTGCACTAGGGCTGGGGATAGAAAGAAAGGAAAACAAACAACAACGTAAAAGTCTCTGCCTTCAAGGAGCTCACAGTCTGATGGGGGAGACATTATGCAAACAACTATGAACAAACAAGCTATAGACTGGATAAACTGGAAATAAGAGGGGGAAGTCATTTTCAATTAGGGGCATCAGAAAAGGCTTCTAGAAGGAAGTGGGGTTTACCTGAGACATGATGGAAGCCAGGGAAGCCAGCAGGTATAGATGAGGAGGGAGTTCAGGAACGGAAGACAACCAGTGAAAATGCCCAGAGTTGGGAGACGGAATATCTTGTTCAGGACACAGTGAGGAAGCCATTGGAGACAGATGGCTGAGTTTGAGGGAGGTCATTAGTATATAAAGATTGTAAAGGTACTAAAGGGCCAGGCTGTGTAGGTCTTCAAAAGCTAAGCGAAAGACGTTAGCTTTGATTCTAGAGGCAAGGAGTCTCTCACCTTTCTTGAATATGGGGGTGACAGTAACTTGCCTTTTAGCAAGATCAGTTTGACAGATGAGTGAAGGATGAAATGGATTGGGGAGAAACTTGAAGCAAGGAGTGGTCTGGGGTAGCCTAAGGACCTCTTCTTAGAAAAATGTTTTTAAAGGCATAACATAAAACACATAGGATTACAAATGAAACCAAATATAATGAAATACAGTTACCAAATTTAAAAAAAAATATTCCTGAAATCCAGGTTAAGAGCACCTGAACTAGCATCTGTTGCAGAGTATACAGGTTCCTCAACTTCCTGACACATTCTATTTCTTACTAACTGAGCATTACTTATTTCAGAAAAATAGTTTAGAGTGCTAAGAAATTGTGATTTGACCAGTTTTCCCCATTTTATCCAAGAAAAAAAAGTGTGTAAAGGCTTTTTTGTTTATTTCCCCTTCCACATTTCTTGAAAAGACAGGCGCTCCCTCCCCCAAGGACACCGTAATGAACAGCACAGACAGGAAGGCTATTCCAAAGAGACTGCCTCAGTGTAAAGAGATGGTTATAGACGTCCATCATCCTGGGAGGGCCACAGCCCCAAAACGGAAATTCACCAAACACTGGCCAAGATGACAAGATCAATCCTGATGCGATTTTTGTCTTTGGATTTCCAAACCATTTTGGTAACAGCAAAACCACAGGCTCTGGTGTGATTCCTCAACCATATAAAGACAAATGGGCCAAGGCACAGATTTTCAAGGCATAGCCTGTGGGAGAAGGAATTGATGTCAAAAAATCAGTGAAATGAAACCCAGACTGGAAGAAAGAGAGTCAGGGGTGCTGCAAAGGCAGGTGCTGGTGTTGGCCAAAAGTGGCATGGAGATGAGAACCGAAGGAAGAAATGGAGGTGAGCAGCCATGTCCCTCTGGGGTGATGGCAGAGGTTTTTCGTCACAACGTCAATAAGCTACGTACATCTTTCTTGTTGTTTTGTTTGTTTGTTTGTTTGCTTGTTTTAAAGCAGTTGTTTCACCTGCTTCCACTTGGATTAGCAGCATTTGCCAAAGAGAGGATTAGAATGAGAGGATTTCTAGGCCAAGAGAGAACCTGAAGGAGAGAGTGGCGTCTTATCACCCTCACCACAAAGTCCTGGCATATTCATTTATATCGAGATTTCAGACAAGGCTCAGAGGATCAGAGACTTAGAACCAGAAGGGATCTCAGACACCATTCACTCTAAGCCTCCCATATTGCAGATGAGGAAATTGAGGCACGGAGCCCTTGAGTGACTTGCTCAGGGTTACTCAACTATTAAGTATCTTGACGCCCCACCCAGAGCTCCCTCTATCTATTGCATCACATAGCTGGTATATGGAAATGTTGAATTATACATACATATATATATATATATATACATACACACATATATACATATACATACATGTACATACATAGACATATGTACACACACATATATCTACAAATATAGGTAGGGTTTTTAGGTGATAGTCTAAGTAACAAATACAAGGACATGATGACTTTTCACACACATCTAAAAGGTTCAGATATTTCAGAGGGAAAGACTTTTTTTTTAAAGGCATACTATGTAATGCTATAACTTTGAGGGACAGGAAAACATTAGGAAAGAACACATTTTAAGATGACTGACAGCAAACATGTAATGACAAGAAAGCCCTCTCAGCCCATATGTGGTAGACTTTCAGACTCAAACAAAGCCATTGAAAACATAAGACTGGAGACTGGAGGCTAGAGGCTGGGCCTCCAGCAGCTTGTGGAGAGGAATCCTGCTCATCCCAAGATGCTGGGGAAGTTCCTGAGAAGGAGGTGTGGTGCAGCCCGAGGGGGAAGAAACCTCCATTGCCTGGCTGTCCTTCCCTTGGCATCCCTCACAAAATGGAGGGCATGCCTCTCATGGACTTCGCTCCCTGGCTCCAGGCTTTAGGCTGCACACAGGTGCGGCCTACCACGCCTCACCTTTCCTGGCTCTGCAATGAGCAGGTCATCTAATTCAGCTTGTGGGACTTGGTCTATTGGGGCATGGCCAGACTGAGCATTGATTGGAGGCCAGATATAAAATCCATGGAGATTAAAAGAAGAATTCTGCCTCTTTGCATCTAAGCTAGATGCCGGCTTTCGCTTCCTTTCTCTGTTCTAGGCAAATGGTTCTCTCCTTTCCGGCTGACCTGGCCTCTTTATCCAATGGCCCTTTCATTTCCATCGACCAGAGTAATTGTTTTAATATGGGTGAAAATTTACTGCCCCATTCTCCTGAAAGGACACCACCCGTAAGGGCGGCGCATCACTCTCTCCCAAGCCCGTGCCATCTGTCTGATCAACCTCTGACTTGGAGCGGAGACCTCAGCCTTGCACGGGGGGGAGACAACATCGTCCCCAGCCCGACTGCCCAGAAGGCTCGCTTCATGCTTCTGGGAAGCTGGATCTGTCAAAGATTTACAATGCACCAGAGTGCTGCCTGAAACATTTCTGGTAACTGAAGCCCAGGGAAGGCATCAAACCTGACTCAGCTTCAGCCACCGCGTCCCCTATTCCAAATTCCCAGTCAAAAGCAAGGAGAGGCAACGGACTGCGACTGTGGTGTGGGCATGGGGCTCGCCTCTCCGTGCCCCAGGCCTCTGGATCCCCAGACGGCACTGACCTACAGTTTTCTCCCTTGCCTGGGAAGTGTCTTCTCTCCAGCAGCACGTATGGAAGGCTGGACCAGCCGGCCGATGGCAAGAGCCAGAGGAGGAGGAGGAGGAGGAGGAGGAGGAGGAGGAGGAGGAGGAGGAGGAGGAAGAGGAGGAGGAGGAAGCACTCACCAGCACCACTGGGCAGATTGCTGTGGGTGGTAAGACATGGTCCCTCAAGATTCCACAGTCGCACTCAGGTTTGAGGTGAGAGGCACATTTATTATGGAGCTGTAGGAGGAGGGAGAGAAAAAAAAGCAGATACGGAATTCTGCAGCACACATCAGCAAGCAGAGCCCGGGCCCCCCAGCTGAAGATACCAACAGTGAACAAGCAGCCCCTGCCCTCAGCCCTCCCCAGAAGGACCAGGGATTCTCCAGACTCATACCATAATTGCTCTTTGGTATTTGACCAGAATAGAGCCCTGAATAATTCTCTGGGCCAGCCTAGGCTCTTTCTGTTCATCAAAGCTGTGTTCACCCTGATAAAACAGCCTCTTTCAAGAAGCCCAAGGATCATCCGCTACCAGCATCCCTTTGTGTGTGTGTGGGTGTGTGGGTGTGTATGTGTGTGTGCGCGTGTGTGTGTGTGCGGGTGTGTGTGTGTGTGTGTGTGGGTGTGGGTGTGTGGGTGTGTGTGGGTGTGTATGTGTGTGTGTGTGTGTGTGTGTGTGTATGCACTGTGAGCACAATCACAAAATGGCCGTGGACCTGCGTGCTGGTGACTCCGCTGCCTTTTTTTTTTTTTGACCCTCCTGCTTTTTCTCAAAGTCATTCCAAACTGCAATGCTCAGTATGGGGCCTAATTGATCCTATCATTAGCTCTAACTTAGCAATTCAATATGTAAATGCACCCAGACATTCTTCTCAGTGGGAGCAGAATATAAATATGAGATGATGATTACAAGGAAAAAAATGCAGCTTTATGGAGTGTTTACGGGCCCTGCATCAGGCTGCGGTGTGGCCCTCGGCGGGGATCATGCTGCATGGACGCTTTGATCAGGGCTTGCAGCACTTTTCATTGGCACTTAGGAGCATGCGCTTGGAATGGGAGGGAACAGCCATTTATTCTAAGTCCCTTATTTGGCAGATGAGGAAACTGAGGTCCATAGAGGTAAAGCGACTGGGCTAAGGTCACACAGAGAGGATCATAAAGATGGAAGAGACCTCAGTGGATAGGGGGCAGCACTGGAGTCAGCAAGACCCGAGTTCAAATTCTTCCCCAGATATTGGCCAGCTGTGTGACCCTGGGCAAGTCTCTCACCCTCTCTGAGCCTCAGTTTCCTCATCTGTAAAATGGGGATAATGACAGCACCTAACCCCCAGAGTTGCTGTGAGGATCCAGTTAGTTAATATGCATCTAATGTTCTGCCAGACTTAGAGTGTTATGCTACGTGCTAAGTGTCATCATTAATCATCATTCTCAGTGTTATTATTACAGACCAAGCCTCTCCTGGGATCACACATATAGAGCTGGGGGGGCTATTAGGAGGCCATGTAGCCACACCCACCCCTCATTTAACAGATGAGGAAGGGAAGTGCCAGGGAGAAGCAGAACCAGATTTCCCAAGCCCATTTCCTGATTCCAAATACACCAATGACTCCATTGCCTCTACATCTACCCCTTCAATGCATGGTGAGAGGGGAACAAAATACACAAAACACACAATTTTATGAGCTTAGCTTCAGTGTCCGATTGAGGAAAGAGGGTGCAGTGCTGCGTTTATCCAGTGCCCCAAGTCTCACTGCCCCCTAACTAGGTATTCATTTTTTTAAAAATTTTTGATTCATTTGTTTTTTAAAATAATGTGTATGACTGGCTGTCCTTGAGTCTGCAACGCTCAGGGGTCAGCTGTGGCCGGGGTAAGATATGACTTACGGGAGTCAGAGCTGAGGAGCCACAGGACTTCTCCATTTTGAACACAATACCCCCTCCTTAAGGACTTGTCCCTATTCATTTGTGCTGCAAACTTCCCTCGGCCAGCAGTTACTTAGCAACAGAAAGTGGAAGCCTAATGAATGTTGATTTACTCTGGGCATTAGAACGATGTGGGGAGGGTGGATTTCAGGGACTCAGCAATCTACAGCATTTGTCAGGATAATTCCCTGCCTTGTTCATAAGGCTACTTGTAACATAATTAATGCACACCAGGCCATGCTGCATCAAATAAACGTATCTTCACACATTCAGGGATAATTAGCAGCTCTGCTTCTCAGTGGCAAGCAAACTTATCTATGAAAAATGATTTTAATCTTAGTATTAAGCACTGCTGATCTTGGACAAGAGGGAAGAGGTGGGGGAGGTTAAAGAAGGTGTTGAAGACACATGAACCATTCAGCTTAAAAAAAAAAAAACAGACACACTGATGTACTGATACAGCAAATTAAAGTATCTCTCCCTACCCCAATCTCTCTCTCTCTCTCTCTCTCTCTCTCTCACACACACACATACACACACGCACATATACACACATGCATGCAAATATACACATTAATCCATACAAGCTTCATCAGTATCCCTAACTCTATCCTCACTTTCCCTGAAGTCTATCACCCCCAGGGATAGCAAGCCCTAGAGGTCAGTTTCCCAAGTGCTCCTGACATTTACAGCCACAGATAGAATTGAGCTGTGCTAGACAGTTTTCTATTATAGTATCACCAAAACAGAAGCTTCAGCCCACTGCCCTGTCTGTCTCATTCTCTCGTAAAGAAGACGATGTGGAGATATGGAACACAGACGCTTTTCATTATCTTCCACTAAAGGCAGTCTAATAAGTTTGAGGTGGAACCTCATTTGAAATAATTTGCCTCTCTAATTATTAGTAATTTAGAACATTTTTTTCTATATACTTGTTGATTGCTGGCAAATATGACCAAAACAAAACAAAACATACAAAAAAAAAGGAAAAGTTGGGGAAGAGAGAAGGGGAGGGATAACAATTATTGGAAGGGCTATGGCAAAACAGGCACACGGAAGGTTGGTCAAGGTAGACATGGGTCCAGTTCCCTGGAAAGCAATTTAAAACATTACACTCCAAGCTACTAAATGGAGCATATGTTTTAAGCCAACAATACCATGATTTTCATGACTTAAGAATGTAATGGGAACATTCCTGCACTGTGAGAAATTATAGATAGGACAGTGTCAGGGGGAAAAAAAAAAAAACTGGGAAGATTTGAATGAGCTGATGCAGAGTGAAGTGAGCAGAATCAGAGAAGAAATTTATAAAATAACAATATTACAAAGAAAATAACAATATTACAAAGAAAATAACAATATTACAAAGAAAAACCATTTGAAAGGCTTAAGAACTCTAATAAAGAAACCAATGTGATAGTGAATCATGCTAAAAGGTAGTGATTCATTTTGTTAAACTAGGTACATCTAGTTCGAGGGTTTTTTTTTTCTTTCCTTCCCTCTTTTTTTTTTCCTTCCTCCACATCTAATTTGGGTATAAGTGAGAGAGAGAAGAGGATATGAAGAGGGGAGCCAAAAAAAGAAAGAAAGAAAAAGCATGAAAAAAGGGTTTTTGAAATATCTTTAGTTCATAAAATAGAGTAGAAGGGGGGCAAGAAAGGAGCACAAACAAGTTGGGGAACTTTGAAAATGACAGAGAAGTTACTATATATTGAAAAGAAAAAAAAAACTTCACATAACAGATTCTCAGCTTTACGGACAACTCTTTTCTGTTCTAGTTCTTTAATGTTTGTTAAGTTCAGGATTTTTTAAAAGGAGAAAATTACCTATCCACATATGTAAAGTGCTTTGCAAACCTCAAAGCACTACCTAAATAATGTGTTTTTTTTTAATGATCATTATTATCATCATTATCCTTTGACCAAGGAATTCTTATATATTTGAATTAGTTATGTATATATGTGTATATATATATATATATACAATATTTTACATATATATAATATTAGACATTGATCAATAAAAGTTGCTGTAAAGGCTTTTTGATCTTTCCCCCTAGTTTACTATCTTACTTCCTCTTTTAACTGTATTTATTTTGATTTTTCAAAATCTTTTCAATTTTGTGTAATTAATTTTTTTTTTAACTTTCTATGACCCTCTTCATCCACTGTTGGTCAAGAACTCTAATCTTATCCACAGTTGTGATAGGCCTAATATCATTTGCATCTAAACCATGTGTCAGTGAGATATTGGTTTGTATTTAATTTCTGCCTGACTGCTTTCCCGTTTTCCCAGTAGATTTTGTCCCATGGGGAGTCCTTTCCCGAGGAGTTAGCATCACGGATACTGACCTACGCTACTTTTTCTGCTTTGGATGGCAGGATACATCTGCTGCACTAATCTACTTCTCTACTTGACACTCAGCACCAAATCACTTGAATGTTTATTGTTTGCAGTATAGATTAAGATGTGGCACTGCCGGGTCTTCTTCACCTAGACATTTTTGTTCTCATTATTTCCTTTGAGATTCTTGACTTTTTGTTCTTCTGTGTGAATTGTTTTTTTTTTTTTTTTGGTTTGGTTCGGTTTTTTTTTCGAGCTTTAATTTTTTTTCCTTGTGTATATTCTTGTATAATAATAATTCTGATTGCAATGGTACTGGATAAATTAAAAAAAAAACACTTCAGGTAATATTATCCTTTATACTAGATTGGCACAGCCCAACTATGAGTAAATAATATCTCTACAGTTGTTCACACATGCCTTTATTTCTGTAAAGAGTGTTGTGTGGTTGCCTTAATATAGTTGTGGCAGGTAGAATCATAAGTATTTTAAACACTATGTATTTATTTGGTATAGAATTTGTCTTTCTATCTTACTTCCCTTTCATACTTTGCTAGTAATATACAGAAATGTTAATAATTTTGTGGGTTTATTTTCTATTCTGCTATTTTGCTAAATTTATTTAAATTAATGTTGTTTTTCTGTCTTGGATTCTCTAAGTAAATTATCATACATTGACACAAAGCAAAAATTTTGTTTCCTCTTTGCCTATGATTATTCCTTCAATTTCTTTTTTTTCTTGTTATATTGTTAGAGCTAACATTATATCAAATAATGGTGGTGATAATGGACATCCTTGCTTTATGCCCTGATCTTAATGGAAAGGCATCTGCTTTATCCCTGTTACATATAATGCTGGCTCTTGATTTCAGATAGATAATATTTATCATACTAGGAGAAAGTCTATTTATTCTTTTTTTTTTTAGTATATGTACTGCTAAAGTGACCACAAATCCACTTATTCCTACCCA